GACGAGACGCTCGAGGAGTTTAGATGTAAGTGGGAGCAGGGAGATGGGTCTGAGGTTGTTCGGGTCATTGGGGTCCAGGGAGGGCTTTTTAAGTATGGGGGTGATGTGTGCATGCTTCAGTGGGGAGGGGAAAGTGCCGGAGGAGAGGGAGAGATTAAAGATGTGGGTGAGGGAGCGTAGGATGGAGGGGGAGGGAGGTCGTAGGAATTGTGAGGGGATAGGGTCGAGGGGGCAAGTGGTGAGGCGGGCATCAGAGAGGATCTTGGAGACTTTCTTGATGGTAGTAAGGTCAAAGGTGTGGAGTGTTGGGGGAGCTTCAGTATGAGGAATGTAGGGTGGGGTGGGAGGAGTGGAGGTCAGAGCAGTGGTGGGGCCGTGGGAGAGGGGTGATGAGGGGGGTAGCTGAGTGAGGGGGAACGGGGTTGGAGGGAGTTTGAGCAGTGACGAAGTCCCTGCGGGTAATGTCGAGGGGGAGGGGGGATGAGGGGGTAGCTGTGTGAGAGGGGACGGGTTGAGAGGGCGTGTGAGTTGCGGCAATGTCCTTGCGAATTGTGTCAATCTTGTTTTTGAAGTGATTGGCAATCTCAAGGGCGGTGAGTGAGGTGCTGGGTGGAGGTGGGGGTGGAGAGAGTAGAGAGTTGAAGGTGGAGAAGAGTCGGCGAAGATTGGAGGAGAGGGCCTTGATGAGGGTCAGGAAGTAGGCTTGTTTGGCTGCGTGGAGGGAGGAGGTGTAGGTGCGGAAGGCAGATTTGTAGCAGGTGAAAGCTTGTTGGGATTTTGTTTTGCGCCATAGTCGCTCCAGGGCACGACTGCGTCATTTGAGGGTTTTGGTGTGATCAGTCTGCCAGGGCTGGAGCGGTCGGAGTCTGATGTTGCGTGTGGTTAAAGGCGCTAGTGAGTCAAGGGCTGCTGTCAGCGCGTTGTTGTAGGCAGTCATAGCCAAGTCGGGGCAGGACAGGGGGAGGATGCGGTCGTGGAGTTGATCAGCTGCAGAGTGGAGGGGGGGCAGGGTTAAGGTTGCGGAGGTTACGGCTGGTAGTAGTGTGGCATTTGGAGGGGTAGGCGTTGGAGGACGAGGAGATAGAGAAGGTGATCAGGTTGTGGTCAGAGAGAGGGAAGGGGGTGTTAGTGAGGTTGTGGGGAGCGCAGCGGTTGGAGAAGACAAGATCAAGGATATTCCCGTCGGAGTGGGTGGTGGATTGTATGCACTGTGCAAGTGCAAAGGAGGAGGTTAAGTGGAGGAGACGGGCTGTGTCTGGGTTGTCAAGGTTGACAGGGATGTTGAAATCCCCAAGAATGATGGTGGGTAGCTCAGAGGAGAGGAAGAAGGGTAGCCAGGAGGAGAAGTCTTCCAGGAAGCGGGGTATGGATCCAGGAGGCCGGTATATCACAGCAATCTTCAGGGGGGGGTTGGGGAGAATAGTCGGACACAGTGGGCCTCGAAGGAGGAGAAGGATAGGGAGGGGGGGTTTGGGAGGACTCGGAAGGTGCTCTGCGGTGACAGGAGCAGACCAACCCCACCACCTTTACGACCGTTAGGTCTGGGTGAGTGGGTCCAGGTGAGACCTCCATAGGAGAGTGCAGCAGGGGAGGTAGAGTCAGTGGGCTGGATCCAGGTTTCCGTGATCGCAAGGAGGTTGAGGGAGCGGGAAACAAAGAGGTCGTGGATGGCGGTAAGCTTGTTGCACACCGATCGGGCGTTCAGGAGTGCACATGAAAACGGGGGGGGGGGATTTTAGGGAGCAGGGGGACAGATACTAGGTTGCGGTAGGACATGGAGGCGGGAGGGTGTTGTGCGGGTGAGGGAGGTGGTGGAGGGCCAGGATTCGGGGAGATGTCTCCCGCGGCTAGGAGGAGGAGAAGGGTGAGAAAGGTGGCATGGGAGCGGGATGTGCAGGAGCGTGAAAAACTCCTAGTGGAGGTGTTCGGGTCAGTGGGAGAGTGGAATAATAGGAGGAGGTGGTGGGTGCCATAGAGGGGCGAAGGAAGCAGTGAGGACACAATATACAAATGTTTAGGAGGAGCAGAGGGATATAGTGAATGGATTTTGGGAATGGAGGAGAGGAAATGAGAAGGAGTAGAAGAGGCATTGTGGGGGGTGATGAGAGCAGTAGTAGGGAGATGATAGCAATGAGGGGGAGATGTGCAAGTTTTGGGGTGGAGCAGAGGGGTAAAGAAATTAGATTTGGGAACAGAGGATAGTAGTATGAAGAGGAGGAATGTATTATATAAAGGTACACAGAGTGGGAGTCAGGCATGTAAGAGATGTTTCCCAGGGTGTTTGCTTGCAGTCTGTCCAGCATGCAGTAGAGTTTCTTGCTGTTGTTGTGTCTTTCTCCTGCTTTAGTTCAACTGCTGTGTTTAACTGCTTCGCACTCTTTCGAAGCCGCACCCCCATCAGAGACTGTGCCCCCCATCAGAGATCTCCCCCCATGAGCTGATCTGAATTTATAGGGAGATGCTCAAATGAGCATTCAACTCCACCCCAATTAGAAGCTGATAAGGCTCACATGAATGTTGGGGGATGTCTCATAGGAACCAGGCTACAGTCGTAAACTGGGTGCAACTGAAGGTGAGGACTGCTCAGCATACACACAAATATAAATACACCATTTGTTCTGAATATAACAGGAGTGAAAGCGATTTTGAGTTAGGAGTGGAGGTAGGAGAGGTGCATTTACCCAGGAGGAAAACAGCAGGAGTCAATGCGTTTGAGTTAGGAGTGGGAGGTAGGAGAGGTGCATTTACCCAGGAGGAAAACAGCAGGAGTCAATGCGTTTGAGTTAGGAGTGGAGGTAGGAGAGGTGCATTTACCCAGGAGGAAAACAGCAGGAGTCAATGCGTTTGAGTTAGGAGTGGAGGTAGGAGAGGTGCATTTACCCAGGAGGAAAACAGCAGGAGTCAATGCGTTTGAGTTAGGAGTGGATATAGCTTGGTGTGTACAAAGGAGCATGGGGGAGCTCTTGTCCATAATGGGCATGGTATTGACACAGCTCCAGATGATCCACATTGGCTCACAAATGATATGATCCAGAAATATTTAGACAGAATAAAGGTGAATAAAGCACCTGGACCAGATGTCATACACCCACAGGTCTTAAAAGAATTGAGCTCAGTCATTTCAAAGCCATTGTTTCTAATTTTTTGGGACTCTTTAATGACTGGCATAGTACCACTGAATTGGCGTAAGGACAATGCGGTGCCAATATTTAAAAAGGGATCAAATCTTTACCAAGTAATTATAGACCTGTTAGTTTAACTTCTATAGTTGGGAAGATACTGGAGAGTTTAATAAAAGACCACATAGATGAGTTCTTGCTGGAAAAAAATATTTTAAGCAACAGACAGCATGGATTCATGAAAGAGAAGTTGTCAAACAAATCTGATTTCTTTTTATGAGGAGGTGAGCAAAACCCTGGGCAGAGGGGTGGCAATGGACGTAGTATAGTTAGATTTTGCAAAAGCATTTGACACAGTTCCCCACACATGGCTAATTTGTAAGTAAAGTCTACAGGTTTGGAAAAATCTATATGTAAATGGATAGAAAACTGGATGAAAGATCGTATTCAGAGCATAGTGGTTAATGATTCATACTGTGAATGGTCTAGGATTGTCAGTGGTGTACCCCAAGGTTCAGTGTTGGGACCCTTACTTTTTAATATATTTATAAACAATATAGGGTCTGGGATTACAAATACAATTTCAGTCTTTGCAGATGACACCAAGCTGTGCAGTGGAATAACGTCTTTACCAGATGTCTCCAACGTACAAGCCGACCTCAATGCACTGTTTAATTGGGCAACTATGTGGCAAATGTGGTTTAATTGTGAATATGAATATGCTAATACCAATATTCCCAAAAGTATATATCACACAAATATATTTAAAAAAAAATCCAAAAAAATAGGAAGTACAATTAAAATATAATATTATAAAAAGTCACTCTGTGCCAACTTCAATCATCAATCTTCATATTCAGCCTTTCAATGGGTCACAAAGAAACATAAAACGAAAAATCACATTCCCTGATTCCTCCATGTCTCTGAGAGGTTTGGATATTCTGATAAAGGCTATTTTAAAGAGGCATCATGATGTAAGCATATTCAATAAAGTATTTTAAATTGTATATGCGGGTTTACACTATGATTTATTTCTATATATGGTGGGCATCAGTGGATTGGTGGAGGTTGTTGATTATACTTGAAAGCTGCTATATTTGGATGACATCTTGATCTGATCCATGAGGCTGTGATGATCCTGTGGTTGAAGCAGAATTTGTGTTAAAACCCTCGCCGGGAGGTGTAAAGGCATATTATTTACATATTTTTTGGTAAGGGTATTCACTGCTTACACCATAGATGTGGACACAGTGTTTCACAGGCTGTTTTTGGATGTGATCACGCATGGTTGTTTGCTTTTATCACATCTGTTTTATTTATATTTTATTTAAGATAATGCACTATGTGATTTTTCTTATTATGTTGAGGTTTCTTTGTGAGCCATTGAAAGGCTGAATATGAAGACTGATGATTGAAGTTGGTTATTTATTTTAATTGTACTTCCTATTCTTTTTTTGGATTTTTTTTTTTTTAAATATATTTGTATGATATATACTTTTGGGAATATTGGTATTAGCATATTCATATTCACAGTTTTTTACAATTTTTGGGGGAAAGTGTATCTTTATGCTCTTTATAGCCTTATTGTATTGAATGATTTAAGGGATACCGTAAAATTCACATATATTAAAATGTGGTTTAATGTTGATAAATGTAAGGTTATGCACTTGGAGGCTAAGAATATGCATGCATCACACATACTAGGGGGAGTACAACTGGGGGAATCAATGGTGGAGAAGGATCTGGGAGTTCTGGTAGATCACAAGCTTAATAATGGCATGCAATGCCAAGCTGCGGTTTCTAAAGCGAGCAAAATCCTCTCTTGCATTAAAAGAGGTATAGACTCCAGAGAGATAGATATCATTTTACCCCTGTACAGAGGCGGACTGACAACTCATGGGGCCCCTGGGCAATAGGGGATCATGGGGCCCCTGTGTCCTTGCCCAAACTCAAAAAAAGCCTATGAAAAAGGTACCAGGGGCATCTCATGGGGTCCCCTACTGACCCCGGGCCCTCGGGTAGTGCCCGAGTTTCCAAATGGTCAGTCCACCCCTGCCCCTGTACAAATCATTAGTAAAACCTCATCTGGAATATGCAGTTCAGTTTTGGCACCAATTCACAAAAAGAACATTGGGGAACTGGAGAAAGTACAGAGAAGGGAAACCAAACTGAGAAGAGGCATGGAGGAGCTCAGCTATGAGGAAAGATTAGCGGAACTGAATTTATTCTCTCTTGAGAAAAGGAGATTAAGGGGGGATATGATCAGCATGTATAAATACATCAGTGGTTCATATAGTAAACTTGGTGTAGAGCTATTCACCCTGAGGTCATCACAGAGGACAAGGGGGCACTCTTTAGGTCTGGAGGAAAATAAATTTAATCTCCAAACATGGAAAGGTTTCTTCACAGTGAGAGCTGTGGAATAGACTCCCTCAAGAGTTGGTTCTGGCCAGCTCAGTGGATTGCTTTAACAAAGGCCTGGATTCTTTCTTAGATACACAAAATATAACTGAATACTAACATTTATAGGTAAAGTTGATCCAGGGAATATCCGATTGCCTCTCGGGGGATCAGGAAGGAATTTTTTTCCCCTACAGGAGCAAATTGGATCATGCTTTGCTGGGTTTTTTGCCTTCCTCTGGATCAACTGGGGGTGTAGGAGTATAATTTGTTTTTTTAATTGTTGAACTGGATGGACTTTTGTCTTTTTTTCAGCCAGACTAACTATGTAACTATGACTCAGCAAAGGGGTATGTCAGAACTCTGCAAAGACACCAGTGCTTTGGCAGGGGATAGGCTTTGCTACTTAAGCTGTAGTTGCTTTATAAAGAAAAAGAATGGTAAAATATTGAACACCTTTTGATTTAATGCACATTGAATGTAATTAACTGACTTACTTTTAACACCTGAGCCCTAAAACATTTTGCCCCCTTCATGACGAGGCCATTTTTGGTATGCTGCACTGTGCTGCTTTAACTGGTAATTGCGAGGCCGTTCAATGCTGTACTTTTTTTATATATAATTTTTTTTCACACAAATAGAGCTTTCTTTCTTTTGGTGGTATTTTTGGTGGTATTCGATCATCACAGGTTTTTTTTATTTTTAATTTTTTGAGATATAAACAAAAAAAGACCGAAATTTTGAAAAAATAAAACCCCAATATTTTTTTCTTTCGGCTATAAAACATATGCAATAAAAAAAAAAAAAAAAAAAATAAAATCTCTTAACATATTTTGGCCAAAATGTATTCTGCTTGTAGTTTTTAATTAAAAAAAAACAAACAAACAACAAGTGTACATTAATTGGTTTGCATGAAAGTTATAGCTCCTACAAACTATGTCATACAGTATATACTGGAATTTTTTTTTTTTCATACTACTTATGGTGGCAATCAGCGACTTATAATTGGACTGCAATAGAGTGGCAGGCAGTCTGACACTAATTGATGCTGAGGGGATCTCAGTAACTGCCACTGAAATCACCAATGACCAGGGGCGGACTGACAACTCATGGGGCCCCTGGGCAATAGGGGATCATGGGGCCCCTGGGCAATAGGGGATCATGGGGCCCCTGTGTCCTTGCCCAAACTCAAAAAAGCCTATGGAAAAGGTACCAGGGGCATCTCATGGGGCCCTCTACTGACCCCGGGCCCGAGTTTCCAAATGGTCAGTCCGCCCCTACCAATGACATTAACACAGTGATCAGTGATAACACTATACAACTGTATTAATGACACTGGCTGGGAAGGGGTTAATATCTAGGGTGATCAAGGGGTAAATGTGTGTCTAACTATGTGTAACGTGTGTAAAGTGTGCTGTTTTTTACTATTAGATCTGCAGGGATGAGAAACACAGAGATTGTTCCCTTTGTACAAAGCTCTGGGCTGTGATTGTACGTATCATTGGATGAATCATTGGCCCAGATCTGTTGACAGGCTACTGCTGTGTACAATCACAGATGGTGCTGGTCGGAAGGCACACATGAGTGTGTCCGAAACCCGGAAGTAGGCAATGATGTTTGGGTACAGTAGTGGCATTACATTGTGGACAGGCGGTCCCTAAGTGGTTAAGGGTCCAATTGGGCTTTACATGAATAAAATAGTAAAATAAATTCACTAGGATGTTCATAGCAGAAAAATAAAGTCCAGTTTAAATTCAAATGAAGATTCAGGTTTGTTAAGACAAAAAAAATCGCACCCCATATTGCAAATTACCAATCATTAGATGTGCTGACTGTATTTTCTTTTTTTTCTTTATTTCATTTGCTGATCCAGCCAGTAATAGACATCCTGTCATTTTGCTCTTTGGAATCAAAGTAAAAAGGTATGGCTGAGAATTTATTCACATGCAATTTGCAACTCTAAACATGTTTCTGAAAAAAAGCTTAAAATCCCTTAAATTAATGTTAGAAATAGGTTCAGGAAAAACTTTCTGTAATATATATATATATTATATATAATATTAATTATATAATTATATATAATATATATATTTTAAAGTGGATCATGTAGAGTGTTAAATCCCATCTCCAGGAAGAAACTCTTCATTATTGCCACACCACCCACCCATTCACACTTTTTTCTTTGAAAAACCTTCAATCCCTTACTAGAGTTCATCGTTATGCCATCCTCAGTAGTACCTTCACAGAAAGTGGAGAGTGGTGATCCTTCATTGAAGTAATTTTCCATACAAACTAGCAGTGTTGGGTATGATGTTCACGAACACGAACATTGGCTGTTTGTGTGCTCAGCAAAATACAAACGGTAAGGGCATTCGGCAGTCTGTTCGCCCGCTGCGCCCCATAAGCCACTGCACCCTGACAGTGCATTGTGATTGGCCAAAGAAATGCACCTGACCACAAGTCAGGTGCAATGCTTTGGCCAATCACAGTGCATGATGACATCACAAGGGGGCAGGGTCTTGTGACTTCATCACAGTATTTATGAACTGTCATCCTGGCACAGCTGTCAGACAGCAGGGGCCAGCACAGAGAGCGGAGCATTTTTTTTCTTTTTTCGGGTTTGATGGTAGTGGCGGGCAATGTGATTAATGTTGGATATACTTCAGGAATATATGTTTTTATTTTTAATAAAGGACTTGTCAAAGACTGTCTACTGTAATTTTTTACACTACGCATTTTTTTTGTGAATGAGTAGCAGTACCATGTACTCCATACTCATTCACATGGGGGGGTGAGATCTGGGGGCCCCCTTGTTAAAGGGGCTTCCAGATTCTGATAAGCCTCCCACCCACAGACCCCCACAACCACGGTTTTGGGTAAGAGGCCCTTGTTCCCATCAACATGCCCCCACACAGCCCCCCTGCCCCAAAGGACCCCCCCATGTGGTCCATGAGGGCATGTGGCCTGGTATGGTTCAGGGGGGGTGCTCACTCATCCCCCTGTTTCTTGACCTGCTGGGCTGCATGCTATGGGTTTTGGGGGGGACCCCCACGCCATCTTTAAAAAAAATTTCGGTGTGGGGGTTCCCCTTAAAATCCATACCAGACCCAAAGAGCTTGCTATTGATGGGAGGGGGGACCCCACGCCGTTTTAAAAAAAAAGTTTTAATTTCCGGGCAATGCTGGTAAATCTTTTTACATTCAGCTGTCAGCGAGGAATAGCAGCATGTAAAGAAAGGGGTTAATACTTACCTATCCCTTCACCAATGCCACCTATATTTGCTCCATTCTAGAGCTTTAGTGGCTGAAGAATCATCAACATATGACGTATCTGGGTGCGTTGGATGCCTAGTTTCCTATACACACTACTGCTCCATCCACCAGCTACTCTATCACCTCCGGACATTGTAGATATATATAAATCGTCAGATGGAACCAGTGTCAGATACCGAAGATTTTTCAGTCAGTTTAGTTCTTAGGATTAAGAAGGTAAGCATTAACCCATGTCTTATTGAGCAGCCCTTAGTTTAAGACATTTAAATCTAGCAACAGAGTTGCTTTGGGTTCAGTAATATTTTTCCACTAGGTGCTGATCAGACCTACTCTGAGTATAGGAAGTACATTGGTCCATTCCTACACACAACATATCTCCTTTCACTTATATACATTTTATAAATCTCAAACTTGAAGGGATTGCTTCAAATAATCCTTCATCATTTCATTAGAATTGAAATAAGGCTACACTAAAATGTGGAATTTTAATGCTCAAGCCACTATGTAGTACGAATTTTCTTTGTAAAGTTTTCATTTTACTTGACCACCCTCCTTTAATTTTTTCATCTCTTAACAAATCCCACCAATGAACTGCTCCCTGGCCATTTCAAGTATTCCACCTTACCAGGTGTGTTGAATACCTACTACACCCAGCTGGGGAGCAGTGAAGTGGGCCACGTGAAAGGTAAGTATAATTAATCTTTGTTATAGGGTTGCCATTTTTTTTTTTATTATATACAATACTTCTGTTGGACATAAATATGGGATCTCCCATTGCTGAATTGTTCATAAAGCTTCAATTTTCAGGGTTGCTATCTTTGTTCTTGCTTCACTATTTAGTGAGTATCTGCCCTGAAGCATGCATAAAGCCAAAGAAAGATCAGAATGTCTATCTTGCTTGCTTAACCAGCTTTAGAGTGAGAGAGCATCTGCCCAGTGGGAACACAAAAATTTCACAGATTTTAGCCACACTCTGACAAAAAGAGTTTTATTGCTATCGATCTCCCCGTTGATGTTGCATTTCTTTCTGTTCTTCTGACACCTACCATTGGGGCAGGACATGCAGAAAAATATCCCTAATGGGAACAGACACCACAGCTAAAAAAAAACTGCAGATATTCTAACAAATCTCCATTTTGTTCTAAAATGAAAAAAAAAAATGTTTTGGTTAGAGATCAGTTTAGTAAAACATAAAATATGCTTTTTACAGTGCTTATGGAGGTTTTTTCATTGTTTCTTGGCAAAACTGCTTTCTTACATTTATCTTTTTTACTGCTGGATGGACATTTTTTTTTCCTGTATTAGCTCCAGAGCCTCTACATAATTAATATCATGTAGCACCTACAGGCATATTATATCATATGGCTACCACATATGTTGTT